CTTCTGAGATGCTCCTGACCAATGAGGATCTCTTACCAGGTCCCAGTCACCATAGCATCAGTGAGCTGGGGGGAGGAGGAGGAAACATGGTTTACCCCGTGAGTGTTAATGCCAAGCAGATTTCCTCCATGTTTTTGAGCCTCTCTTTAAGGGAGAGCTCCAGGAGCTAATACGATCATTGCAATTTTGCCACTGAACCAAGGGAGGAGGAGATCCGTAGGGCATGATCCGGCCTCCTGGACAGTGTCCTTCTGCTTCTGTTAAACCCCATAGTATAGATGCAAGTCCCATTATTTCCCTCCTACAACATACTTTTCTGTGAGAATGCACACACCTGTGCACGGCCTTTGTGGCTGGTGGGAGAGTTGTGAGACTCATCCTGCCAAGATGGGCCTTTGAGGATGAGTTACAAATGGAACCAAAAGAGGAAAAGAGATGAACCTGTTAAAGAGAGAATCATAGAGAAATGGACAATTTCCCCTGCAAGTCCAGGAGACAATATAGGAACAGCAGCACCAACTCCACCAGTAGGTTACCCATCTCAGCCCAAAGGAGAGGGAATATCTCCTAAGGCTTTTGTTCCTTCCTTGCACATTCAATGATCTTGGCATATTTCTGATTTTTCGTGTTTGTACAGTGCCCAGCACAATGGGGTCCTGCCCTATGACTATATACCCTGGGAGGTACCAGAGCACAAAACATATAAGAAGACTTTTCTCCAGTCTTTGTTTGTAGGCCAGCAGAAAAGACTTCTTTTTGTGTGTACGTGCTGCCATCTAGTGATACCAAATAGACTTACGTTATTTCAGAGGAAAAATGAGGAAGAATTTGAGAGAAAAATCAGCAGAGACAAAATGGAATGAAAGTGGGTAATAGTTTAGCCCTGGTGTGTATGTGTATACAAATATATCTGGTTTTTATTTACAATAACTGGGAAAGCAGGTACTACAAAATAAACTGTTTTCCAGCTGAATTACAACTTTTGAGAGATGAGCTAATTGCTTAATGTTTACACTGTGCTTTCCAAATGTAAACCGCTATATAAATGTTATTATGATCATAAGGTATGCTGCTATAAATCAACTCAATATATTGAAGGTGGCAGAAAAAAAGTGCTTCTGTCGCAAATCACTTGCTCCATTTTTGTGTGTGTATGTGTGTTATAGATACCTGCTCACTTGGAACTGCCCTGAGAAATACAAACTCACATTCTGTAGATCTCTGAACAGCTCTCGCATGGCAGAGATTTTGATTGCTACCATAGTCATCCAACAACTTCGAAATCAAGGACTCTATCTCCTATTGCCAATTCTCTGAGCCATTTTCCCTTTCCAGCCTTTTAAAGAGAAAGCACTCAAAATTGCAAAATTTGATCCCAACTTTGCAAATTGCAGATTAGCGGGTGTTAAGATTGTAGGCCACTAATAAAAAAGAAGCTGCTTCTGAAAATATTAATCCAGATTTAGTTTCCAGTTTCAGACGACATAGCGATTCAGGTATATGGTTTAGAAGACCTATCCCTGATTTTAATAGTTGGTGAAAATGATTCAATTTCACCGCTGTTTCCTTCTCCAAAGCTTCTGTGACTGTTACCCTATGGATGACCAGGGCCACCAATGGAGGGGAGAGCGGCATTTGCCTTGGGGCCTGGTGATTTAAAAGGGACCCTGGGCCGCTTTTGTGGAAGAAGTAGCAGCCAGAGTGCTGGGCCCTGAAATCACCACCAGGGACCAATGGGATGTGGGCAGGATGACGCTGAGAGCTGACTGAGGGAGGCAAGCATGGTCCAACCAGCCCTGAGAACTGGCTGCCTCTAGCCCCACCCCTTCCACTCTAGGCTCAGTCTATCCCTTCCAGGGGACCTGGAGGAAAATATGTTGCCAGCCCTGTGGATGAGGCATCACAGTAAAAATATTTGAGCTATTTATCATTTCTAGGTGATGAATGAGCATTTCGCCTGTTTTAAAATAATAGGCATTTTGTAGCCACCAAAGGCCATGTCTAGACTAGGAAATTAATTCAAAATAAAAACTCCCAAAATAACTATTTTGAAATAGCGTGTCCACACCACAGGGAAGCCATAAAATTAGTCTGCGGCAGGTTTCCTTACAGAGGACATGCTACCTCAATTTAGAGCCCCAGGAAGCACTGGGGAGTACTTACTTTGAATGATTCTGGGAAACAGTACTTTTAAAATAGCACCAATGGAGCATCCAAACTACCGCTATTTCAAAATACCTATCATATATATAGTAGCCCAATGTCTGTGACTCTGTAACACTGTAGCATTACGAGTCACCTCTGGGGGGCGCTGTTGTCTCATGCCGTGGCACTTGGCTGAGTTCTGCACCGCTCAGCCGGCCCATCGCGGGGGAGCAAGCGGCACAAGTGGCCCTTTGGGCCCCGTGGTCCCCATACAGCATGCCCATGCACGTCACCGCCCCAACTTCTTCCCCTCCCGCTGTAGCGCTCAGCTGAGTTCTGCGCCACTCAGCCGGGCCGCCGCGGGGGAGTCCAAATGGCCATTTGCTCCCCCGCGGTGGCCCGGCAGAGCAGCACAGAACTCAGCCGAGTGCCACAGCGGGAGGGAAAGGGGGTGAGGCGGCGACGTACAGGGTGCCACCCCCCGG